CTAGACGAATTCCTCAAGTGCAGTTTTCCTCTCAGATGACTTAACACTGTGTCACACTACAGTTAAAGCTGACTAAGACAACCTTTTTTTATTCCTTGCATGATTTTAGACACACACATTTATATTTGCATAAACTTAGATATAAGTGCTCTCGTGCTTACTTTATCAAGATGTAACACTCCAGACATGAAAACATGGCCGGAAGTGATTCATTATGTAGAAAACATGCCAGTCCGCCACCGCCACCCTTTGCTTCAGAATCCAGCTTCGCCAGTCTTTCATTTGGGCTGAGGACCTGTGGCTTTCCAGGAAATCCTCTAGGCTTTCAGCACCAGGTTGGAACCCCTGAGTCACCCAGAATCATGGACTGAGCAGCCATTGAGTTTTCAGCCTCTCTGACATGCAGACAGCCATTTTGAACTCCACAGCCAGAGAAACACAAAAACCCATATCAAATATGCATTCCTTCTACCACCTCTGTTCTTCTAAATGGCTCCGACCATTACACCGTGCTTATTTTTCTACCTCCATCATAACCATCTCCTTCAAGACCTCTCATATATTTTCATCAACCGCTCTCTTAGTTGGGTTTTCATTGCTGTGAAGAGACACCATGACCAGGGCAACTCTTACAAAGGCAAGCATTTAATTGGGACTGGCTATGGTTCCAGAGGTTTGGTCCATTATCATCACGGCAGGAAGTGTGGTAGCATGCAGGCAGACATAGTGCTGGAAGAGCCGAGAGTTCTACATCTTGATCCAAAGACAGCCAAGAGAGAGCTCTGTCTTCTACCCTGAATCTCTTAAGCATAAGACCTCAAAGTCCAACTCCACAGTGACAAACTTCCTCCAACAAGGCCACACCTCCTAATAGTGCCACTTCCCATGGGTCAACCATATTCAAACTACCAAAACCACCTTATATTTAAAAGCTTCGCGTCTTAGCTATTTCATTTACTGTCTCACATATTACTATGTTGCCAGTATAAATATCTAAGCTGGTTTAAATCGTGAGGGGGAAAAAAGGATCTTTGGCTCAAGGCAGGATTTCTAAAAGATAAAGTTTAAGAACAAGAATTTTGAGTGCTTTGACATTCACTTGAGACCATTGTTTTTTTCCTGCTTTGTTGATCCAATACTTTCAAAAGCTTTGCTTGGGAAAGTTTCCTCTTTGTCAATTAGCTGATTCTTCTTTTGAGACTCTAATGATCATCTAGATTGTGCAAGCTCCTACTATTAGAATGGAGGACTTTGGTTTGGGATTATTGCGTGTGAAGGGGATACATGTGTTTCTGACCATGTCTTATATTCTGACCCAGTATTTCCTGGCAAAGCGCTCAAAGCTCACAAGAGCTATAAACTAAGTATTTGAACTACCCTTCTTAGCTATACTAAAGAGCTATCCAGCTTTCCAACTTTTAAGTGTTTCGATTCATACAGCTTATACCTTGGGGGACTACAAAATTTGCCTCTAAGTTAGATGAACATGAGTTATGAGTTATTAATTACAGAATAAAGCTCTGGGATCAGAGAAACTGAACAAACCCTAAAGCTAACTGATACATAATTTATTCCACATTTGTGCTGGATGACAGAATACACTGGAATATAAAATGTAGGGTCACGACTTGGGTGAAATAAGAAAAGTTAAGACTCATTTTCTAGTCACTATCAAATACGTACTGATATTGCCTGGCTTGGCGAAGCTCTGACACCTGCTGCATGAAGGAATGAGAGCCACCTGCCCTATTTCAATCCCTAGAAGAAAAAACTCTATAAAATGGTAAAGAATATCTATATGTATAAGCTGTCTAGATATGCAGAGACATGTGTGTGTGTGCGTGTGTGTGTGTATGTGTCTGTGCGTGTTGTGTGTGTGTGTGGTGTGTGTGAGTGTGTGTGTGTGTGAGTGTGTGTGTGTCTGTGCATGTTGCATGTGTGTATGTGTGTGAGTGTGAGTGCATGTGGTGTGTGTGAGTGTGTATGTGTGAAGGCTTATGCAATCTTTACTTAGATGAGTAATTTAAAAAACAAGCTCCCAAATGAAAACAGATGAGAGAAAATTAAAGATGGCCAATAAGACAAATCAATGGTAGCATTTCAGTTATTTGGAGAGTAGAACAGACTGTAAGACACAACGACCAATACATGTACGTGTGTACACACACATACACACACACACACACACACACATCACTGTGGCTTGGGCGTGATTTATCTTCCAAAGGTTCTATCTCAAGGTCCACTGAGACCCTTCAGGATAGATACCTAGTGAATACCTTAATTACTGCTGTTCTAGGAAGAGCATCAAGTCTTCTAAGCTTAGATTCATTTACTCAAGAGTTGATTTTAGAAAAGTATCAATCTGACTTCTCCCTCTTTGCTAGCTTCCTACCTCCCATTTGGGCTCTGTCTGCCTACGGTCAGTCTTTGTGCTTTTATGCTATTGGATGCTAGAGCAAGTTGTTCCAACTTTCTGGCCACCAGTATTGAGCCAAGTAACTTTGGTTTTTTATAAAAGTATTCGTTCCTAAGTATTTAAAGTTCACAAAACATATCTAAGGGGGTTAAATATAAAAAAATATATCAAAGAAAATATAGAATGTGTCATATCTGTCAGTTGTATGACTTATCAGGAACAGAGAAATTAAACAAGACTTTTATTAAAAATCTCAGGTTTTTTCTTTTTTATAAAAAGCTATTTTTGTGGTTTTTAGATTTTGCCACCAATCATCCAATATCATCAAACGTTTCCAACTGTCCAAGATCATCTAACGTTTCAAAGTACTTTTGTTTTTACTAGGGAGCATCTTTGGTTTGGGTTTTGAGATAGAATTTTATGTAGTCTGGGCTCATTTCAAACTTGCTGTATGGCTGAGCCTGGCTTTCATCCCTGATCGGCTTGTCTGTACCTCCCCAACGCTAAAATTGCAGGCAGGAGCCACTACTTCTTTTGGAGGAGCAACTTATGGAATTGTATACTTGAAAATCTTTAAAATATCTTGTGCAATAAAGTTAAGTAAAACCAATTAGATCATGAACTGGATGGCTAAGGATTGATATATATATATATATCTCAAAAGTAAATAATCTGAGTGTGATTGTTCATTTGTTCACTTTCTGAGACTAGTTTCTATACATCCCAGGATGACCTAGAACTTGTGATCCTACTGCGCAGTCCCCTAATTGCTGCTACTACTGGCATGGGTGTACAGCCTGATCCTGTTTTGGTGACACTTGTTTTTTCCATTGGAAGGTTCCAGAAGGCTAGCTAACAACAAACCCAGTCTTGGGGCCCAGGGTTTGTCTTTAGGATGAATGCCAGACACTGCCTTCAGGGTTGACTCCCATAACTATGCCCCCTTTTCCCTTTCTACAACTAAAGGGGCTTTGCCCAAAGGAAAGCAGACCTAGTGTCTTTCACCCCAGAGATTCATCCCTCCATTCTGGAAATCAACAGCCAGTGATATCACAGGGAGAGCTCCAGGAGTGTGGAGCCTGAGTCAGTTGCAGTGTGCCCAGTTCCCATGAGCTCTGAAGGAGTCTCGAGTTGCACACAGTAGCAAAGCCCTTTCTCCTGCCTCTAATAGCCCCTTGGGGAAAGCAGGCGCACTAATCATTGTAGATTGGTGAATACCAGCTGATCACTGCTGAGTGACAGTTCCTCATTTGCCCCCGCTTCAGAAAAACAAAAACCTCAGTCTTCAATATACATAGTCATAAACAAAAGTTGCCATGCTTTAGATATTGTAATTATTATTTAAACCACCAAGAAAGACATCAGATTAGAGAAGACCGATGTTTCTCAATCTTGGCACTATTTATTTTGGGGAAGTAGATCATACTGTGTACATGGTGGGGGGACCGGTCCTGTGCATTTAGAATGATCATTTAGCAGCATCTCCTGACTTTTATCCATTAGATGCCAGTAGGATCTGCCAGTTCTGATAACCAAAACCATTCTCTAGATACCACTGAAAGGCATCCGGGAACAAGAAAAAAATCCCCTTCGATTATTTAGATTTAAATTGGATTTTGGAACTACTTTTCAAAATTTAACTCGCTACTTTCTAGAAACACCTACAGCTGCGTTAAAAGCAAAAAAGAGGATATGAAAAAAAGACATTATTTAATCTTATCTAATAGAACTTTTATGATAAACTTGAAATTACTACTGACCTCCGATTTACTAGTAAATTGCATTTATTTCTTAGACATTTAAAAGAAACCTTTGCTGCTTCTTCCTTCTTTGCTACATCTTCCCCTTCCTTCTCCCTCCTCCTGTCCCTCTTCCTTCTTCCTTCTCCCTCCTCCTGTCCCTCTTCCCCCTTCCTTCTCCCTCCTCCTGTCCCTCTTCCTTTTTCCTTCTCCCTCCATCCCTCATCCTTAATCTCAGGCACAGCAAAACAGAACTTGCTCACAAACCTAACAGATATTGTGCATTATAAACTTGGTAAAGATCAATAATTTTTTTCAGTGGTAGTCTTCGGATTTAGAGACAGCTTTGTACGAGTCACGGCTTTTCTGTTTGTTTTGCTTATCAGTACTGGGGGTTGGACTCAGTACCTCACACAAGGCAAGCACTCTACCAATTAAGTCCTATTTCCAAGCCTTGTATGGGTAAATAACTGCTTTGGGAAACTTGGTACCAAACTGAATGCACAGAGAGACAGAATCCTAATAATGTACCACACTCATCTCTACTTAAGAGCTTTTGATAAAAAGGTAAAGTCACAAAGAAAATCTAAACTTCTATGAAAGATGCTCTGTTTTCTCACTGTTCCTTGAAGACATGTCTAAAAGTACTGTTACCACTTTTGAGTATCATCAAATTATATATGACCTCACAAATCACAATGGTTTTGAAAAACAATTCCATCTTCTAAACAATGAAGAGAGATTTACTCTACCTAATTACAAAGTAGTAGGTCTTCCTCCAGTGTTAACGAGTGGAACCATTTAATTTTAGCTCTTTGTCATCAGAGACAAGTCTACAGCACTTTGAGAACATGATGAACTCATTTATTCCTCAAATGGTTGCATTCCATTCAAGAGCACTTAATACAGTCCGTTTGAGAGCACTTAATTGATTGAAATTAAAAAGACCAGTTGGCACTGGGACTTTCGAAAATACAAGTTATTACTTTTACAATCTAGACCTTCTACGTATTAAAATAGAAGTGAGAAAATAGATCTTTGGAATCTAGAGTCTATAAGTGAAGGCTGATAACCTGACACAGATTTGAAATGATCAATCCAGACTATGGCTAAAATGCAAGAGGACAGGTCAGAAATCAATACAAGTTTCAAATTATTCACATTTGGTGGTGGGGGAAAAAAACCCACTAAAGGCAGGTGCCTACAATGATTATACTGTGTAATATTTTTCAGACCAAACCATATCCTGAAATCTTGAACATTCAACTTCTGAACTCATTTCTAGCTTCTGAAAGGGATTTTGAAAATCCAGTAGGGTTGTGTCTAAAGTGAGGCTGCTCTTTCACTGCTGACAAAATACTCTTGCCTTTTGGCAATGGCCACAATAAATAGGTAGGCGATGAGAATTTCCAATGCTTTTTGAGAATCAAGGATTGCTGATCTAGAAAACCTCCGTTGTTTTGTGAGGCTTCTTTCGGGCCTTGAGAGCTTTGCTCATTTATGAATGCCTCATTTCTCTGATCCTGCAACTGAAGGCACCGACTTGATCTTCACTTCTGATAGGATTCTCGAACTTTGGCCTGCAGAGCATCACATGTCTTCTTGGCGTCCCCCAGAAGCATGGCTGTGTTAGGTTTGTAGAAGATTGGATTGTCCACTGCAGCATAGCCAACACCCAGGGACCTCTTCATGACAATGACCTAAGGAGCAAAAATAGAAGAAATTATACTCAACAGGACTGGCTAGGCCCAAAGCAATGCCTTTTCTTGGTTCTGCTTTTGTTTTAATTGGTACATTACTTTTTGACTTTTTTATATGTTTGTGCCATATATGACATTAGTACAATAATGCAACTCTCAAGACTTTCAGATATCAACTACAATAATAGCCTTATACACATGTGCAGGACATTTTGCTCATCTCAAACAGTAGATTTTAAACTCGTGTACTTACAATACAAGAAACAAAATTAATGGGGAATGTTCATTATGTTGCTATAATCCTTTTTAAGTTGTACTTTTTTTTTTATTTTATTTGAATTCTGTGAACCGGGCAGGTGTGTGCACAGGCAGATTTTGTAGCAGGAAGGTGTTTGAAATCTAGGTGCTGAAGTTACAGATGGTGGTGGTCCTCCCAGTGTGGGTGCAGGGAACTGAGTTCTGGTCTTCTGCAAGGTCAGTACGTGCTCTTAATCACTAAGTATCCCTCCGACTGCCACACTGCCATAATTCCTACAGTGTGTACATGGTCAGGAGCAGTAAAGAAACCTTCTGGATCAGAGGACTATTTAGAAGCCTTTGCATTCTCTAAAATCTAGCAGCTAGCTTTACGCAGGAGCCATATGCATGAGCGAAGCATCGTTTCTTGTGCCATGTTATTGTTTGGGTTTTTAAATCACCTCTCCGTTAGACAGTCCATAACAACATACAAATACCCCATAAAAAATAAATTGGAAAAAAATGTGCTCCTCTTGGTATATGAAGGCGATGATACTGACTCACTGTCCCAGAGGGAAGCCATCTGCTGCACTGGACTCAATCTGGAACTTGGCCAGACACATTCCAGTTGCTTACAGCCCTTTATTCAGCTGTGGTTACAGATTCTGTTAATCCAGCCACATAATCTCATCTGGTTCTACTCACAACGCAGCATTCACTCAGGTTCTATGGTGTCCAGGGAACAGAAGGAAGCTGGACACAGGGACCTGTCCCTAAGCTATGCTCATACTCCTGAGCCTCCTAAAAGACATCACCAATTCTCATTGAATGACCAAAGAAAATTCTTCGTGTATATATTTCAAGTGACTGTGAGAACGAACACAAGTCTAAACACGTACCTGTTTGGACTTCCAGACCTCAAGGACTGGCATGCCTGCAATTATAGAATTGGGATCTTCTTGAGCCGCTGAATTCACGGTGTCATTAGCTCCAATGACAAGAACCAAGTCAGTGTCTATGTTTGAAAACAGAGGGGAGAGACAGAAAATATAAAACACAACGGGTCACTCACATTTCTTTTTAGGCAAATTGTAGTAATTTTTTAACAATAATAAAACCAAACTCTTAAAAGAGGCCTACTTGTGCCAGGTACTACATAGAGCTTTACCAGAAAATGTCACAGAATAGAAGAAGCCAGCAGTGGGACCTGCTCAGGGCTGGTGACTACAGCCTGCTTTATGACGCTCATCCTTCTGGTGGATCTACCTAATCTGACTTTATAATTCTTTTATTGTCCCCAAATTATCTTGCTATTCACATGATTTTATAAGATCTGAATTCATTTTGAACTCTCAAAATGACCAATTAAGATGCAATCTAATGTCAAAAAAAAAAAAAACAATGTCTAAAAGTCTGTACTGTATTAAAGCTGTGTCCATAATTCCTGGAACTGGCTGGTTTTACACATAATTTAACAACAGTTGAATTTAAAAGGGAGCGTAAAATTAAAATGGCCTAAATTCCCTCTTTAAGGACTATAATTTAAATTACCTAAGGATGCTGCCAAAAGTGTCATGTGCATCTAGACATACACACAATTTCGTTGTTGCTATTTTATTTTTTTCCTAATAAACAGTGTTTTCTTTTTAAGTTTACACTGGATACTTGCCAGCGGGAACAGATCTAATTTTAACAAACATGATCTTGGGCCAAATGTCATTACCATTCCACATCTACACAATGACAGCTATAAAGTACAGCGCCTTATCTTATGAAGTCCTAGTACTTATAAATGAAGGGGGAGGGAGAAAGGGAGGCGAGGGGGGGGGGAGGAGAAGGAAGGAGGGAGGGTGAGAAGCAGAGAGAAAGAGCACACGAGCTACTTCAATGAGCATAACTTGGTACAATGGAAAAACAGTAAGATTTTAAGACACCGAGAGCTCATCCACAGAAGCAGTTCTGTAAATGAGGACACCGAGGTGAACACGGAGTTCAAGGCTACAGGCTACTGAGAGTAGAGATCTGGATTCAAAAGCCAGATCGGCCCAGGTTTTAGATTCACCAATGCACTATGTCCCGGGGTTCTCAGCACCCTTCAGCTCTCACGGAATAAAATTTCACTCCTTCTGACAAGGCTGCTGCAGCTCGCTCAGTGATATCTCTGACAAGGCTGCTGCGGCTCGCTCGGTGATATCCCTGACAAGGCTGCTGCGGCTCGCTCAGTGATATCCCCCACTTTATTCACTGTGAACGCACGTCTATCATCGTCGAAGCGCTCTTTATCAAACTTGGAAGTCTTCGCTAACTCCATGATCATATTCTAAACACAGTGCCCCTCTGGGCACCATATTTCAAGGGTAGTGAAAGTCTGCCATCACTCCACTGCTTACCTGGGAAATCACTGTTGATCTCATCCATCTCTAGCACAATATCATAGGGTACTCCCGCCTCGGCCAGGAGCACATTAAGCTGACCAGGCATTCGGCCCGCAACTGGGTGGATTCCAAACCTGGACAGGAGACAAAGGAGCAGCTGGCTTTACTTGATAGGCCAAGTGTACGGGGTTCCAGTGTCCCCTCCAAATCTGCACTCCTTGTTCTTGGCACCTCTGCTTTCTCCTAGCTCTATCTGATCTCTGCAAGTAGAAGGGGAATTCAGCGAGATATACGGCCATTCTACAAATGCTAAAGCTGGAAAACCCAATGCCTTAGGACTTACAAACTATAAACTCCTTCATAAAAATAACACTGTAATTTTGGGACCTTTTACCCTTCCATATATGTCTTAGGTGCCATGAACTTTCGATATTATTAATTAAATAATATTCCCTCGAATTTAAAGGCGTTATATTTTCTCATGCATGATACTTTCTGATAAGTCCTAATCTCTTAAAATAGTAAGTTAGTCTGGAATTGTTTCCAATTTAAAAGTTAATATTATTCCAACAAATGTTGTCTTAATGTCCAATTGCAGCCCCTGTAATAAAAGGTGGAAAAAATACTATACACATGGTATTGAAGATTCACAATTTGCCAGAGACTAATATAAAACATCCCAAAAGAAAAGTGATAGTAACACACTGGAGTGTTTAAAAGACAGAGGACATAGCACCCAGAGTGCTAGAGTTAAAGCAAGAAGACTGAAACATTGATCAGTTTCTTCCAACCAGACACACCATCCTTTGTATATTAATCCTATTTCGTGACCACCATATTTATCTTTCAATACCAGGCACCATGCCTGCCACATAGAAAGCGTTCACAGAAAGTGAATGAATGAATTCAGAGAAGAAACGTCATTTGCAGAATCTCTTGGTGGGTATTCACCCAACCTCAGCTTTAACAGGATTGAGGGAGGGTAGAAAGGCAGGGAAGAGGCCCCGAGAAGGGAAAGCAGTCCACTTCAAAGTTTGGCTAGAGCTTCTCACCAGCTCGGAGTTGGGAATTCCAGCACAAACTAACATTTGCTATGAAGGTTGCCTGCATAGAAACAATATTCCTTTTACACACAGATATTTCTAATCATAATGTTAAAACGGTAATGAATTGTCCTTAAGATCTAAGCATACAGAACATCCCTCATCAGAGATCCCTGACCTCAAGCTGTACTACAGAGCAGTAGTGATAAAAACTGCATGGTATTTGTACAGAGACAGGCAGGAAGATCAATGGAATAGAATTGAAGACCCAGAAATGAACCCACACTCCTATGGGCACTTGATCTTTGACAAAGGAGCTGGGACTGTCCAGTGGAAAAAAAAGACAGCGTTTTCAACAAATGGTGCTGGATCAACTATAGGACAACATGTAGAAGAATGAAAATTGATCCATTCTTATCTCCCTGTACAAAGCTCAAGTCCAATTGGATCAAGGACCTCCACATAAAACCAGATACACTGAATCTAATAGAGACTGCCCCACCTAGAGATCCATCCCGTATACAGTCACTAAATATGGACACGAGAAGTGCTTGCTGATGGGAACCTGATATGGCTATTCTCTGAGAGGCTCTGCCAGAGCCTGACAAATACAGAGGCATATGATCGCAGCCAACCAGTGGACTTAGCGTGGGGTCCCTGATGGAGGAGTTAGGGAAGGGACTGAAGGAGCTGAAGGGGTTTGCAGCCTCACGGGGGGAGCAACAGTGTCAACCAGCCAGACCCCCAGAGCTCCTAGGGACTAGACCACCAACCAAAGAGTACACATGGAGGGACCCATGGCTCCAGCCGCATATGTGGCAGAGGACGGCCTTGTTAGACAAAAGTGGGAGGAGTGGCCCTTGGGTCTGCAGGGATCCCAGTGTAGGGGAATGCCAGGGCAGGAAGGCAGGAGTGGGTGGGTGGAGGAGTACCCACATAGAGGCAGGGAGAAGGGGGATGGGATAAGGAGTTCAGGACAGGAGACCTGGAAAGGGGATAACATTTGAAATGCAAATAAAGAAAACATCCAATAAAAAAAAAAAAGAAAGAGACGAATATAGAGACCCATAGCTGAACAACACACAGAGAAGGAGAGACTTTGGAGTACTGGTCTTACATCTGATGTCTTTATCACAACCCTTCCCTCAAGGCTCAGAGATATGTGGAAGAGGCAGAGAAATTGTAAGAGCCAGAGATAGCAGATAACTTCATGGAAACAGCATTTTCCAGACACAAGAGGACACGCTGTGCACAACAGGTACACATACAAACTCAGAGACTATGACAGCACATAAAAGAACTGTATATGTTCAAGCCAGAGAAAAAATCTCAGCACAGAGAAGGGCAAGTAGGTACAGAATCCCAACACTAGCCAAGAAGCTATTTGCAATTGATAGCTCTTTGGAGAGAGAAAGTCAGTTTTCCTTAATGAAATGGCATTGAGTCTCTCAGCCACACTCCAGGGCGGGCGACATGCTCAGGAGTAGTTGGCCAACACAAACGAACTCTGCAAGGCTCTTTAGTTGTTTTTGTTGTTGCTCTTGAGTTTAGGGATTGTTTGTTTGCTTGTTTTTGTAGAGAAAGAAAGAACATGAAATTGGGTGGGTAGGCAGGTGGGAGAGGATGTTGGAGAAGAGGAAAGAATATCATTTATATATTATATGAAATTCTCAGCAAATAAATTAAAACATCCGGGGAGAGACTTAATGCATACACAGCCTTACTATTTTCCCAGACACAAATGTACTTTTTTTTTTGAAATCTTGCAGAAACCTCTATTCATAGTAAAAGATATGCAAGAACACTCCCTTATGTAACCTTTGTCACTTACATGTATGTCTGTCCAAATTAAAATCCAATCCAAATGATTATCAGAGCCTCTACATACTCTCACTCGATCAAAAAGAGAGGAAGGGGTCTGCAGTTAAGAGCACTTGCTAAGGACTGGAGGCTTAGCTCCTAATTCCCAAGGTTGTTCACAACCACCTCTAACCCTAGCTCCAAGGTATCTGGTGCCCTCTTCTGGCCTCTGTGCATACTGCATGGACGTGCACATACTCCAACAGGACCTTAACGTTTACCTTGAACCAACACAAACAACCTAGAATATTTACAAGATAGCATCTAAGGCTATTAGGATCAGGACATGGATGCGAAGTGAGAACGTATAACTTAGTCCACCAGAGTAGTATGAAAGTCCATGGACTGGGGTTTCCATTTTAACTGACAGTCCGATAGACATTCCATGTTTTTCTTTTAGAATCCAATGCTGTGTGCCTCTTTGGTTCCAAATGTTCATTTGCTTTTTGTTTTTAATACTGCCTTTGTTATCTTTACATTTCTCTGTCTACCATCTTTATGCTTTAATAGCGATGACTTGGACCAAGTTAAAAAAAAATTGAGACTCTTGGAATATATTAGTTCTTGTTGTAACATCTTGATTAGCTACAGACTGCATAAAGACAATATTTCTGTTTGGCTAGATGTGAAGGGTAAATAATCACCAGCCTAACCATAATGTTACAATGACTATCCCAGAGGAGGGATCATTTTATATATCTGTTTGCATAATAATTTATTACCCTGAGCTTTGGGGCTCTATGTTTGGAGCAAACTACATGTAAGATTATTAAAAGAGAATGCCAATGTTTTGAGAGAAATAACAGAACACACTCAAATTTGTAGAAATATATAATGCATGCTGATGAGTCAACATGAGTTTATAACAATTCTGGCCCTTGTGGCTGGCTAATCTCCAAAGTACATATTAAAATTAATTGTATTAGACACAGGTTGGCCATAACCAGCAATTTCCACGAACTGACTGGCCAAAGCTCATCAATGATCCATCATTGCATGAAGAATATCCAGAATTCTAACACAGAAAGACTACCAGCCTTTTGGTTCTTCCCTTTGGAGCAGGAAAATGAGCCTCTATTAAGTACATGCTTTAAAAGCTGAGTCAGCGACTGACACACCAGGACTCTACAAAGGGAAAACAAAGGCTAACATGGAATCACAGACAGACCATCCACGCACCCAGGACCTTCTTCATCTCCTTCACCTACACCATTATTCACATGGGTGTCACTGTGCTCTTCTCAGCAGCAGTTCCTTGAGCATAGGAGCCATGCCTTGCTGGGCAGTGGCCACAATCCCCACGTTCTACTTCAGCCCTCAGTTAAAAGAAGGGTTTAAACAGCATATCCCAAGAAGACACCCTGGTTGATAAGATCCTAAGTCTCTTTCTAAAGCAAGAATTTAGGGTTCGGGTAGCAGTTTGAAGTTCTCATTGGGCGGGCCTTTGGACAATTGACTTAAACACCCCTTGGTTATCTCATGTGGATAATGGGGCTGGAAGGAAAACCTCTGTGAAGGGTTGTGTGATCTAAATAGGAGAGTCAACAAAGAACTTTACCTACAAAGTGCTTTACACCAGCACCAGACCAAAGCTTTAGTAACTGTGATGGTTTGAGCATGAATGGCCTTTCCATTGGCTCACATATTTGAGTGTGTGGTTACTGGGGAATGACAGTACTTGAGATTAGGAGTTGTGGCTTTGTTGGAGGAAGTGTGTCACTATGGGTGGACTCTGGGGTTTCAAAAGCTCATGTCAGGCCCAGTGTCTCTTTCCTCTTGTTGCCTGTGGATTCAGATGAAGAACTTTCAACTTCAGCACCATATCTGTCTGTGTGCTGCCATGATCCTCACTATGATAAAAACAGACTAAACCTCTGAAACTCTAAGTAAGCTCCAATTCAAAGCTTTCTTATAAAAGAGTTGCTGTGGTCATGGCATCTTGTCACACAATAGAACACTGGCTAAGACAATAACCCAGTATTACAGTGTTCTGCTCGAATATGCCTTGGTAATAGAAATCTTCATCATGCTCATCAATTAAGTATGTATTTCCTAATGTTCACGTATTTCAAAACAACCCACTTTTTTTTACCTTACAACAAATGGGTTTTTTTTTTAGCTTTTCTAATTTTTACCTTGAAATGCTAACATAGTATATAGTAAATGTTCATATAGTACCCCCAAAGCAGGAAGTTCTTTGTACTTGTACAGAAACTGAAGGAGGGGCTGTC